GGAAGGGGAGGGTCTCCTGGGAGGGAGTGGAGAGTGGACGGGGGCAGCCTGGAGTGGAGGGGCGGAGACCAGGCCTCCATCGCCCTTCGTCGAGGCTCACCGGCCTGCTGCCTGCGGTTCGCTGGTTTTAGTTAATTCACGCCTGTGCCTCTGGACGTCCCATTCCTGCCTGAGGGCCCAGGATACTCCCGAGTCCTCTAAAACGAAGGACAGAGGTACTTGGGGGTAGTGAGCACCCAGAAGGTGAGAGCTGGGCAACATAAAGGGAAATCTCACCTTTGACAAGGAGGGCTTAGACGGAATCGGTGTTTAAGCACCCCAGGTAGACTACATGGAGCCTGTCACATGAGGGGACAGCTCTGCGGTCAGGGTCAGGGTGGGAAACACACACACACACATGGAAGCACATCAGAGCCACTTCCCACCCCAAAGGCAGAGCTCGACCTGCAGGTGAGAAGAGCGAAATTGAAAGCCATTAACGGATTAGAGCTGGGGGCCCCTGGGAAGGCGTCCGGCCCCCTATCTTCTGGGCCGACTCCTGGAGTAGGACAGCACTCCTAGAAAGCGTGGTTGAAATCCCGGGCAAACTGAAGAGTGCCTGCTCTCAGGGCGGAGTCCCCGAAGGTGCAGACCCCGTGCCCACGGGGCGCGCCTGCATGGGTGGGCAGAGATGCTGGGGTGCGAGTGGGCAGAGATGCTGGGGTGCCGGTGCTTGGGCAGGTGAGCCGGAGGGAAGCTTCACAGCAGGCGGGGCAGAGAGGAAATGGCCCAAACAACTAGAAGTCCAGGGGTCCTGAAGGGGCTTTCCTGGTTGGGGCGAGAACCACCAAAGTCGTCTCAACGTGGGTGGCCTTGTGGAAAGATGTACTTCCCCGGAGGCCAGTGAGAACGAGATCGGCCAAGGACCACAAGGCGCCTCCCCCACAGCCCGACAGTGTGGGAGCCTCTCGTGAACCCAGACACCGCCTGGGGAGAAAGGAGGGTGGGGAAAAGTTGGAGAGAAACCCCAGTTAGCTGAGCCGTTTCCTGAGAGAGCCTGGAAACTGGAAACGGCTGAATTGTGGCAAGATGAGTTCTCCTCCGACAGCAGGATCGAAAAGTTGCCGGCTCAGTGGAGTGCGATGTCAGAGAAGTCACATTTCTGCACACCCAAGTCAGCGGACGGACAAATGCATGCCTTTTTTTAGGTCATGGCCATCGCCTGCTGAAACGGTATGATCATTTCCCATTGCACTTGTCAATTAATCCAGACTCTGGCCTCTGGACCAAGAGCCCTGTTCTTCCTCCGCCAAGTCCACGTCCTCCCTCACTAAGCGGCTGTCCCACTGGTCTCCTTTGTGAACGGCACGCTGGCCAAGTTCCTTCCTGACTCAACGCTTACGTGTCCACAGTTTCTTCTGCCAGGAGCATTCTTTCCGCCTCAGCAGAGGAAACTGGCGTCTTCTCAAGCTCGGTAAGGCCGGCTGCACCCGAGCGAAGCGGTGGTTGTCTCGGCACTATATTCTCTATCTCAGCACGCTCTTCTTTTTCATTCCATGGCATTTCACACTCTAGAGCCACGAGTTTGTTTACGATACGACGTTACTCGTGTGACCACTGGGTTGCTGTAATTCTTGAGCGAAAGAAAGGAATCTGAGAGTTTATTCTGTGAGACCTCATGATCGGTATACGTACACTTTTTGGAAATGTTTAAAAATATCATGATACATATGTGAAACGCCTGAGGACTACGAGACCCTAGACTGAGACATGCGACTTTAAATATTTGCTCCCCTAAAAGGCCAGGCTCCTTCTTACAACTCGGTTATGCAAAGACAAATAACCCAATTAAAAATGGGCAAAGGACCTGATTAGACATTTCTCCAGGAAGACATAGAGATGGCCACCGAGCCCATGAAAAGATGCTCGAGATTAGCAGTCGTTAGGGAAATGCAAGTCGAAGCCACAGGAAGATAGCACTTCAAACTCATGAGCAGGGCTAAAACCAAACGGTGAGGTAGCCGTGAGCGTCGACAAGGACGTGGCGAAACTAGAACCCTCACGTGCTTCCTGGTGGGACTGTAACATGCTGCAGCCGCTTTGGAAAACGGTTTGGCAGTTTCTCAAATGATTACCATATGAATCAGCAATTTCCCTCCTAGATATATGCCCAAGAGAAATGAAAACGGGTGTTCACACAAAAACTCGTAGTGATAGCAGCATTACTCAGAATAGCCAAAGAGTGGGAGCAGCCCAAATGTCCACGGACTGACCAATGGCTTGATAAAAGGTGTTATGTCCATACAACGGAATATTATGCAGCCATAAAAGTGAATGAAGTACCAATACATGCTACAGTATGGATGAAACTTGAAAGCATCGTGCTAAGTAAAAGAAGCCAGACACGAAAGACTCAATATTGTATCATTCCATTTATATGAAATGTCCAGGAAAGGGAACTCCACAGAGAAAATAGAGGACTGGTTGCTTTAGGGAGGGGGAGGGGAATGGTGGGTTCAGAGGGATGGGAGCTAAAGGGCATGGGGTTTCTTTTGGAGGTGATGAAAGTGTTCTAAAATTGACCGTGGTCACCAGCGCCGCCGGCGTCGTGGTGTCATGCGAGATCCCCATAAAAATGACTGTGGTTATGACTGCACATATCTGTGAATATACTAAAAATATGGTACACTTTAAATAGGAAAATTGTATGGGGTATTAATTATAACTCAAAAACTCATTTAAACAATGATAATAATAAAGATCAGGCACAGGCATGTACGGAAAGGAGAACGTACCTCTTCTGGATAAAGCAAGGTACCCTTGTATCGTACCAGTGGAAGTCATAGCCCCTTCAAGCCAGGACACACTCGCCATTGTGTCCTCTAGGTGACTGGTGCAATGCTGTGCACGTAAAAAGAATTCAATAAAGTAATGAGTAAATAAATGAATGAGAAAGTAACCCTCCGATGAGTATTTTCTATTTATCCTGAACGCAGAGTGAGGAAAGAGGCTTAAATGCCAGCGGGAAGCTTTTAGATGAGGTGTTGACAAAAGGGACTTACGTGCAGGGTTGGGCCACATAGGAGAATAATCTCTTGTGACCTATTTATGATGAAGCTGAAAATCAAGTCAATCCAGTGAACTTCTCTCCAGCGAGAATCGAGTTATTTACTATCACCAGCCGTCTACCTTCCCTCAGCTCTGGTAAACACCATGGAAAGTAAAAAGCATCTAAGAATCCACAACCTACTTAGTTAGAGAGACAAGAATAACACCCCTTGAGCGATCAGAGTAACACTCAGCCTATCATCATCGTTCTTAACATTCTGGGATGACAACCCCTTTCTCTTATTTGTTCAGATAATCTTCCTCTTCTGCCTCTACTCTTTTCCACCCTTAATAATTGTGTGCCTGTGGCATTTTAGGTAAATTGAAATTAATTTCATTTGGAGAATTCTATACTTCTGAGATAGAGACACGTGGACTTATCTAAAAATCAGGCTAGAAACTCTAAAACAGCATGGGGCTGTATGATGAAAAGTGAAGGTCTATGATGACAATGCCATGTGACTTGTGACATAGTTTACTTAAGAGACTATGCCTTACTTAATGGCAGAAAAGAAAGCAGACAGGATCGGAACCCCCACCTGCAATGTTGATGAGCACACAATGTTAGTTCTGGAGATGGCCCAGTTACTTCTAAGTAGGCCTGTTGGGGCAGAAGGAATCACATTTCTTCCTGCTCTTCTTCTTAGTGAGAGAGGAGAATCTCCACACATCACGGCCAGCGCTTCGGAGGCATCCTTTAGAAGGAGCACAGCTGTGTTCCTGTTCTGAGTCCAAACCATAGGCTAATGGTTCACCTCCCACCAAACAGGAAGCCAGATTCATTGTCTTGCAGCCTGAAGAACACTGCACGTGGAAAACACTTGGTCAAAGTTAGATGAGTAGAAGAACCTAGAAGAATCCCAACTCTGTGGGGTGAGAGGCCCTGGTTCCAGAGAAGGAATGCTTCCGCAGGTGGCCACCAGAGATGAACTTACAATGAAAGGACGCATCGTGCCGGCGGGGTGACCCCGATCACCAGGAGGGTCTGCCCTCCATAATGGGGAGTGGAAGACTAGATTTGCACACCAGTGGTCTCTGAGGGTGTCCCTTGGTATTCTCCTGCCCAGTTCTGATGGCAACTAGACATCACACAACTGCCTTGGCCTGAGGACACGGTGACCAGGATTTCCAGACCTGGAGGGGACCGTGCTGGCGGAGGGGGTCGGAGGGTCCAGGGTGGATAGAAAAGAAGGGAGATGATGCACCACGTGTAGCCCCCAGAGCACCCACAGCAAGGGCGACCCCCCTCACTCTCGCAAGTTTCCCCAGGAAAAGAGACCAACCAGAATCCTGGAGGTGCCATTCCTGGACGAGGTGAACTCACTGTATGAAGCAGCTGCACGAGGGGCGAAGGTGCGCTGTCCGCGATGTCCACGCTGTCCGCGCTGTCCGCGCTGTCCACGTTCCCTCTGCAGGTCCAAGGCACTGACTTCCCCCCACGCAGGGAGCGTTATCTGCTGAAGGCTCACAGCTGTGTTCTTTTCAGACGTGGTCCTCACCGGTAGGAAACTGCCCCACCCGAGGTGACAGCCCCTCTCCAGGGACAGCTCGCATCCAAGAGTTAGTCTCTGCAAAGTTACAGAGGTCCCACCCTCTTCCCTCATTAGCGCACCACGGGGATGTATCCTGGTGAGTATTGAACAACCGGGGCTCTGGGGGGAAAGTCCTGGTCTGTAATATTGGGAGATTTCAAACTCCCACTGTGTAACTACTCCCACCATGGCCAATGTCAAGATTGTGCTGACTTCAGCGAAGGAGGAGCTGGGAGGGGATGCACGCGGTCACTCCCGTGAGCCAGTGGGAGCCC